TAATATTTGAATCTTAGCGAATGAAAATAGACTCCCCTTTCTAGTTTGTGAGAGCACACATACATGGTGAGCAATGATTTTTAAGCTGGGTAACAGTGACCCCTAATGGAGATTTTAGTAAGTAGCTCAGTTTTAGAAGAAAAACTGATTTTTTTAGAAGAAAAACTGGTCCTCATTTTATTTGCAGTTCTCTAACAGCCTTGCTTAATTGCCTGAAATATATCCAGCAGCATGTCAAGTAAGAGGTATGTAGCAGATGACCACAATTCTTTAAAAGAAAAACCCAGTGAAAGCTTATGAAAAATAATTCAAAATAATATTCTTCTAAATCCTGCCTGTAAAAAATTGAAAACTTTGTAGCCAACAAGAACAAAACAAAGATTAAATGAGCATTTGCATTGCTTATTTCAGTTCTACTGTTCATTATATCCAATCTCAGGTACTTGCAGAGCAAAAAAGTAAGCAACCAAGTTTTTCATAAGCTCACAGTGTGGGATGAAGCCTTGCCTCTGAAGAAATCATAATCAAATTCTGTCTCAGTGGGAAAAAAGCAGAAGGAAAATTCACACACAATGACTTCCTCTACAAATTTCTGTATTTCACATCCCAGAAATTTCACGTTTTCTAATGAGGAATCCTCCATATATGTTGAACTACAACTCCCATCTTTACTAGCCAATGCAAAGTGCTTGTGATAAAATATAAATCCCTAAACAGCTTGGGGCCAGGATAGGGTTAGGGGGAAGATGGAAAGGAAAAGAGCCTTTTCTGTAATGGTGCCTTACCTGTGGAACACCCCTCCGATTGAGATCAGTTACAAAAGGCACTTGTGAAGAACAGGTCTATGATGACTAGGATAGTCACTGATTATCTGATTCTCCTCTGCACTTCTACTCAATAATAAGCCCCTCTGAATGTCAGGGGGCTGCTTTCACATAAAAGGATATAGGATTGATACCTAAATGTGCAAAACTACCAGTATTCTAAGAGTTTCAAATTCCACACTCAGCCAACCTAGCCTGTGAAAGAATCAATGCAAGGACAAAGCATGGCATTTTCAGCTTTGGCATCACAACTTTTAGATTCTGTTCTAGAAAATATGCCAGAGCTTTGAGGTTTCTGTTTTTAGGATAGTCATTTTTAGGGGGTTCTTTTTAATCACTGCTGGCCAATTCAGACTTTTGATGTTATTGCATGCTATTTTGGTTCTTTTAATTATACACAGTACTTCGAATAATCTCCTTTGAGTTTCCCATCTGAATGAGCGCACAAACAAAAACAAAAACAAACCAAGATAATGAAGGACACAGATCCTCACCTTTCAATACCTGAAAATATGTTCCTGCCAAGTTCAGCCATGGCAGCATGCAGTTTACATTCTAAATTCCTGTCAGTATCACCCTGGTACCTTGTTTTAAGAAAGGCTGAGTGGGCAGAGACTCATGACAGTGAGGAACAAGAGGATCTTGAAATTACTGCTTTTTTGTGTAGTTTGTATTCCTTGCCCTGTGCACCACTTAATCAAAAGAGTTGTCCTCCACTGCTATGCAGAGTTTGAAAACTTGGAAAAATGTTCATGCTTCTTAAACTACCTAGTTGTTGCCCTTGCCAGAAAGTCCATTAGGGTATCTTGAAACTGATTAATCAAGAGCCTTGGTGGGAAACAGGGAGCAATCTGGAAACATCCTCCCACAAAACAGACCAACAGGTTAAAGTAGCACCTAGGCACCTGGTACCTCCTTTTGCCATATTATCCCTTTCCTGTCTTCCCCTCTGGCTTCTTTCCTCGTTAACAACCTTCGGGAAGTTGGTGAAGACCTTCCAATTTTCAGAAAGTTTTCAATAGGTAATTTTTATTTGCTGCTTTACGCACTATTTCTTAATAATTTTAAGTATTTTAATGGTTGTTGTGCTATCCTTTTCTGTGGCTGTTCCTACATTTTATGCTGGATTGTCAACTGCTAGTTAACTGCTAACTGGTTATGTTGTAAGCTTCCAGAGCTCCTACCAATAGTGCTGGGAATAATATTAAGGACAGACTTTGTCACACAATTCCAAGAATCAACTTGCTTGGCTCTTAAGGCCTCCCTTTATGATGTTGCCTGGCACGTTTTTGTTTTCTACCCTGGTGCCTAGGCCACATTTGTGTGGCCAGAGTGGCTTCCTCCATGATTTGCTGGGACAGCATCACTGACTTGTGGGCCCACATAGAATGGTTGCACAGTACGCCCAGAACATCCCCGGTGAGGAAACTTCAAACCAGCTTCCATCCATGGCACAGCCTACCCACCTTGTGAGCATCTCTTGATACCCTGTTCTGGTTATGTGACCACAGCTGTATCATTAGCCTTGTTTCAGGGCCCTGGGAACTGTGCCTTACAAATGGCTATGCAACGTCTTATGAGTTGCTGGCTCTAAGCACAGAGGTAATTTGTTTGCTGAAGGCCTAGGATAGTCTGCAAAGGATTTTCAGGTCCTTGAACTAAGTGGGACAATTTTCCCACTGTTACGGCCAATCTCCCTCCTTTGCCATCTTTGCCTTGGTTTTCTTACCTCTCGCCATGTTTGTTACTTTCCTTGGTGTAGCAGAGATTTCATTTGTATATGGGGCTGGGAAACAGCACTTCAGTGCCCAGCATGCCAGCTTTTCAAATGATTGACTGTTTTTTGAAAAACAAAATAAAAACCGGGAAGGACAGGGAGTCTTACCAAAGAGGTGGCCATGGACACACTGGTATCCCCCAGATAAAGTAAACACAATATATGGACTCATCCTAGCTGGATAGTTCCTCTGCCCTCTCTTATTTCACTCTGTTTGATTTTTTTCTTGGGGGAAGCAGCTCAAAACTCCTCCACTGAAAGCTATGTACAAAGTCATTTTTGAGGCCTTCAAAATTGAATGTTTGGCAACAAGTGTGTGTAGGGGGTGTACTTCAAGTCAGAGTAATAGCAGGCTGAAATAACACTTGACACAGAAAGTAAGGAGATCTATTTCGAGCCAGCAATTACTATTTAGAAAACCATGCACTGCACTTTTAATAGTGGTTGCTTATAATAGGGACACATTTATGGCAGCAAGACAACAAGAAGGCACTAAGTGATTGGCAGAACTGGGAAACAACTGACCAAGATGATTATATTTATAGACGCATACCAGTGACCAGTCGACTGCATGACTAGAGCAAGATTTAAAGATAACAACACCAATACTGATAGTTTTCTACCGAGCTGTGGCTTCTCACAGGAGAAGGAAAGTGCTTTTAAGACCACGAATGCCTTAAATCGAGTATCTTCTAGGAATTTTCTGCGGCTTTGAAACTACAATCAGGCCAAGATTGGCTTGGGGACTTGGACCGTATTGCTGGAGTATGGTTAGATGATTCATTTCAGCAGATGATTCATTTCTCAAAGGTATTAGCTTTGACAGTACAGTTCCTAAAAATTGTTATCAAATGGAATATAAGGTTCTTTCTTGTACAGATTCATCTCCATTTACTACATAAACTTCACAGCTCTCTCACTTTAGAAAGTAGTCCAAGTAGTACACACTGAGAGAACTTGATTATACAATTAATGCCTTGTACAGTATCTCTTCTCCCAACAGCTTCATCCTTCTTTCTCAGAACCTCAACTCCCTTTCCATTTCTGGATTCAAAAAACCAGAGCCAGTACACTCTTCCTCTCTCAGTTTCTGTACAATCTCTTGCATGTAACTACCTCTCCCTTCAAGCTCTTCCCCTGAAGTTTAAAAAGTATTAGACATCTGTATTAAAAAAGTAGTTCTGATTCTCAGCATCCCATGATACCCAATACTACATCAGAAGCCAGATTCCATGCCCTGAGAAACAAAGGAGGCTGTGCACGGATCTAGACCCGTATCTGCTATTATCTCTCTGATAGAACCGTAACAATAAAATTTCTTTTTGGCATAATTTTGCATTTAAAAATCTAGACACTGCAACTTGAATTAGTTGACCATTTGACTGTGTGAAGGTCTTCTGGAACGATAAACCCAGGTGTACAGAACTCTAACCGAGCTCTCCACGAACCAGATGGCACTACTGAGCATGGCCAGGCCCAGTGTGTGAGGCCATACCGCATCCCATTTCACCTTTCCCTGTGCTGAGAGAGACACTGAATTCCATGGCTCTGTTAGCATAGAAAAAAGCACTTGGTGCTGACAGGGGCAGACCCTTCCCTTAGTGCTATTAAACCCCGAGCCTATTGTGGTACCCACCTGCACCAAGCAGGGGCAATTCCTCCAAGGGGCACAATATGGAGAGTCCATGAGGAAGCTAGTGTCCCTACTATCAACTATATCAGGAGCAGGATGATATTTCAAACATCCTCATGCTGCCTTCACAAAGGCCGTGATCTAAAGTGAGCTGGCTGTGTGAGCCAATGGACTGTGCACAGCCAGATCTTTGCTAGCTGTTTTCTCCTAACAGCAACTTCACCGGGTGCCCCATATACAGAGGTCTCTTTCTGCATCCCCTGCAAAGTGTGTTTGTCCTTCAACTCTTCAAAGCACTTCATGTTTTTTTTATTTCATCAATCCTTACTGCAGTGTAGGAAGTAAATCATTTCTATCCCTATACTACAGACAGAAAGGAGCTGATATTGAGACTTACCTAAAGTCACCTAGCAGCATCAAGGGAGAGCTGAATTTCTTGCTTGATAACCTATGAAATGCCTTCTGGAACATATACAGGTCCATCCAATCCAGCATTCCTTGCAAGAATAACAGCAACCAGAAGTTTCTCCAGCAAGATAAAATCACAGACCATGATTTACCCACCCCTGCACTCCGTAACATTTCTCATAAATGACTCTGGATACTGTATTAGAAACACCTCTTCCCACCATCACCAACATAAAGAACCTTCCCTCCCTATCCAACAGTAGTGGTAGTTTTTCCCTCTTATATGATGTTCCACATTATTTTCTGCAAACATGACAGCTCTATCCCCAAACAATACATTATGGTAGAAGGTTATTACCTTCATCAAAGTCAGCATCATCCTCTGTATGCTGAGGGAATGGGAAGCAGTTGGTGATTTCAAGTCTGTCATCCACGACTAGCCCAAGCAGCACACCTTGGACCACTTCATTGCCTTGACCTTCTTCTTGATAATGTTTGATGATCTTCAGTACCACCTGAAAGAGAAGCTCTTGATTAGGAGAGCATGTCTTGGAATATATCATGCAGTGCAATTCCTGGACACTCTCCCAAGAATTAAATGGGGAAATCCAATGGAACATGAATATTGAGCCATTATACTCTTTGAAGACTGACAACAGGACCATAACACCTAAATATACTAAGAGTGCAATCCAATCCAGGTACCTGTAGTCCTCCAAATTTAAGAGGATTACGGACATCCTATCAAGGATGAAAGAAATGTGGAGATGATTGCCTCTGTGCTTCTCTCACCCTGAAAAACATTTGGGTTGTTCAGCTGTTTAAGGGTTCTGTACCTGTTTCCAAGGAAGACAAAGGCCCTACCAAAATTCATGGTAGAACCTCATGCTTCCCTTCCCCTAGAACATTCCCCAACTGTGAAGTCAAGTTTTGTGACCTCAAAAACACAGTTGATACAAAAAGAACCATACTGGCTGCCTTGGTGGAGGGAGGATACTGCAAAGTCAGCTGGAACCTTATTTTTCTCTATAGCCATCTAAACAGCATCTAGGAACCACAGGATTGTGCTCTAATGCAATTAAATCAAGTGAGGAACTTCTGTGGGTTGGGGAGCCATAATGGTTTCACCCAGAACTTAACAACCCATGCCCACTGCTGTATATGCCATGACAGTATATTTGGCAGCAAGGATTGGTAGGTGAAAAATGGCAATAGAGACCGCCTGTGGACCACAGGACATGGGCTAAGCACCACTGAATTGAATGAAAAGAGTCAATAATCACAGGAATGCTACCAGTACACCAGATGTATCTAGGATTCCATTTGCTCAAACAAATTAAGCAATCACCAATATTCAAAGAATAGCTGAAATATTTGATTATAAATAGTCTTCTTTGACTATAAGGAGTTAAAGCCTACTTTTTGTCAATTGACAGAATGCTTTTGTATTACTGAACTATTGTTAAATCAATTGTTTTAAACTGTTTTATATCAACAGTTGGATATCGACGGTAAGCCTACTTGAGCCCACCCCTACAATACAAGGAGCATTGTGTTCATATGAGATTCTGTACTGAAGTAAAGATATACTTAAGTAAGTCCTGCAAACAGAAAGAAGAAAGAAAAAGCAGAATGAAATGGTCCCATTTAGGACTGTAGCCAGGACATGATATTCTATTTACTTGCTCTCTCTTAGGTTTCCAGTTCCCCTCACTTCAATGGCCAATCAAAATTTTATGCCTGCTGGGCATGCTCAGTCTTCATCAGGCTTTCAGAGGAGGATCCTCCCTCCCCCAACCCCACTTGGGAGCATTTCTTAGCCATTGTTTGTTTGTGCTTCTGCAAGCTTTGCAGATCTGCCAAACCTGCTCATACCTCTTCCTGTATATGGATGGTGTCAGAATCCTATTGATACTGTCCACACGTAAAAGTAAAAGGGGTCTTTTTGTTGCAGAAGAGTTAGCATTCAGAGAAGAGAAGTTGTTATCAATACATAGATAATACTATCACCTAATCTACAGCTTTGCCAGTCCAAGCATCTAACCCCAAACTATGTAGCAAGTTCTAGACATATAGAGGTTCTTTTGTCCAAAGACATTAAGAAAATCTCTGCCCCACTAAATAAATACTCAGAAGACCTTTAAAAACAGCTTTTCTACTACAGAAAAAAAGTGGAGGGTGTTCTTGCAAGCAACTCAACAGAATCTTTGGCTAGTGGCCTTTAGCAGCAGTGGTCAACCCAAGGCCTGCACACACCCAAGGCCTGCATATCCATTTGCGTGGCTGTCACCAGTCCTTGCTGTCACCACCACCTCCAAGCTCTCAGCAAGGTGTGTGGGGACTACAGGCCTTGTTGCTTAGCACATTTAGGATCCCAACAGCTGTTTGGTAGACTGTCTGGAAAACAGAGCCCTGGCTCCCTCACCGAGTGCCTTTCAGCAGAATGAGGCTCCTGATAGCCCAATAAACAGCCATTTGGAGCCCATTCCTCTGGGAAACAAGGCATACACTGGGCATGTCTCCCAGAGATCCTAAAGGGGAGTAACACATAAATCCCAGAAACTGCCTACCCTTGGCCTTTAGTGAAAGCAAATGCAGCATGTCAACTAAAGCAAAATTCAGTCCCTGCCAGAGTCAAGAAATTGAGCAAAGGTAATTGCAGCCAGAGCACTTCTGAAATAATCTAGAGGGCTCAGAGGAAAATTGCTGCTCAAGCTTTACTAATTGCCAAGCAGAAGAGGAGGTTTCATTAAGGAAATTTTATGAGGATTAACCTTCTGCTCAAATACCTTGGCATCCCCTTGACTAATTGAAATATGTCATAGATATGCAACCCTATTATAAGATGCATCCATGCATTCCTGTGGAAACAATGAAGATATCCCACACCTAGGCACCTAACTCGGAAGCATTCCCAAGGGTTACTTTGTCATGTTCTAGTGAACCAAAAGAATAAATGCAACAAAGGCCCACTTCTTCCAACGGTAGGGAGATTTGCCTCCAAACTGTGCCCCACTGCGCCATTCTTGAGAGCTAGAGATTCAGTCTCATTCTCCTTAATACCAAAGTGTGCACATCAGGAAGGGCTGAGGGAGAAAGCAGAGGCTGGTGCCAAGAAATGTCTGTCATATGCAGGGGGCCTGGGACCCACTGCTTCACATCAAAGCTCAAATCCAGCAGGGATCAAGAGCTTTGCATGTGTACGGTTTTCACACTGCCAGCAAATACTAACAGCAGAGAATTCAACTGGAAGCAAATCAAGAGGATCATGAGCAGGTGGGATGAGAGGGCTGGCCTCAAAAGACGTATATCAGAAACCAAGTGCACTCCAAGCTAAATCTGCCTTGGAGCATTTACATATCAGGGGGAAAGCTCCCTGGGATATGTGAAAGGATCTGAAACTATTGGTGCAGTGCAGAGGCCATCCCCAGACTGGCCTCACATCTGTGAATCCCATTGCAGCTCCCTTGCTCAAAGTGGGCAGCTTGTCAGCTCAGGCACAGGAAGCCCAGACAGATGAAGGACGGTGAAACCTCTCTGCACAGGCCAATGCTTCCTGGCTTCGGCTAGCCGGCCACCATGTTTGTCCATGCATCCAAGAAATGTGAGCTGGAAGGGTAAAAGCAGGGGCGGCAAAACCCTTTCAGCCCAAGATGTGCTTTCAAATTCAGAGAAGCTCTTGCAGGAGCATATCCCAGTAGCAGCTAAGACAAAAGAAAAAAGGGACAGGACCAAAGTATCAAAAATACTAGTATATTTTATGTACTGATTTTACTGCCAGTAATGAAGACTTAGGAGACTTTGAATTGCCAGGATATGACTTACAGGTCAGAGGTTTGACATCCCTAGGTAAAAGCTTTTTTTGAAATGTCCATTTTGCCCGGCCCTTCTTCTTACCCCTCCACATTTTTTTTTTTTTTGCAAGTCTCTGCTTGCAAGCTATCTAACATGCTACATGACAGCAGCAAGACATTTTTACATTCTCAAAGCTTCCTCACTATCAATCATCTCTACGCTTCTTTTGTAAGTACCTAAGTCTGCAGGAAATAAAGCTATTGAGTTTTGTACCTGTACAACATGTGCTATTAATCTTGTGTAAGCAGCACTGAAGTCTTATTGATCTGTCAAAGAAACCAGGTACATAGTCAGAAGGCCTGAAGCAATTATTTTAAAAAGGGGCAATCCATGCCCTTATCACCACAGCATCACACCCTCTGGCCTGTTAGACCATGCTACAATTTGCCTTTTGTTAAGCTGAAATGAAGTTTACAATTCTGATAAACACCAACTGAAAAGAGACTGTATAAACCTGAGAATATGGGGAATTTCATAGTTCCCAAATCCACAAAAGAAGGATACTGCCATGGGAACCAACACCCTTGTAGAACTCTTTCTGGAACAGGTGACCTCGTTTGAGCTCCCCAGAAAGGTGAGCATTAGGCCATCAGTCTGGTTTTCCCTGACCAATGACCATGCTGGGTAGGAATAATGCATGTTGCAGTACTCCTACGTACCAATTACACTCTACTTTGAATCCTTAATCTGCAACTCACTGAAAATTGTCTTACTGTTCCCAGTTCCCTGTCCTCCAATCAACTATGAGAAGAGGCATAGACTGATGCACTCAACAGACTACACAAGCCTCCAGAAGGGTTAATTATTTGGGAAAGCTTCCATGTTTGCAAGACCCTAATATCTGTTGGCTGCTGTCAAAGCACTCATAGGGTTCCTTTTCATTCTGGTCATTTCCTGTGCACCCTCTGCTGTCAGATAAGAGTTGTTTTTGCTTCCTTCTATTTCTTTGCTGTGCCCATTAATCTTGGAAACTGAAACAGATTCTCAGTCCCCTACCCCACTAGTGTGATTTAGGAAGACTTACTACATCATGTTACAGAAACCCTTATCATGGAGAAGAGGCTTATATTAGTCATCTGTTCTATTTTGGAGAGCTAGCATGAAGTAGTGGTTAGACAGCTGTGCGGGGGGGAGGGGGGAGCAACAAAACCAGTTGTAGACAGCCCAATATGCTAGAGATGTTTTGACTACAACTTGCAAAGCCCTCACCACTGGCAATGCTGTCTGGAGCAATTCAAAAATCCTAGATGATACCAGGTTGTCTATCCCTGAACAAAACTGTAAAAAATGACCCAAGGACAGAATTCCACAGCTGCGTAGATGTGCTTAACAATACCACAAGGTTAACAAAGCACATAGTCACGAAGTTAGCATTCTCAAGGAACCAGCAGAAACTCAAAGTTAATTCTTCAGACCAACAGGGAAAAGACTAGTAAATTCTGCCGTAAGTGCAATGAAAAGCTCCCAGTAACAGAGGAAAGTAGAGTCCTTCTTTCAAAATTGCATCTTATGCTCAAACAGAGGGTATGCTTCTACACCGCTCATTTGCTGCTCCTCTCTTTCAGCTGTGCCTAGCAGAAAGCAGGCACAGGCTACATACCCCTTCCAGGGGATACAGAGAGAGATGGCTGTCCTGCAAGTTCTTCCCTACCCACTATAC